AACGGGTCACTGTGCAATCGATATTCACGCAGTAAGGCTGAACATACTACGGGACCCCGTATGTCGCAGGCGCCTGGAAGATGACGAGGTGGAATCACCTCAACGTAGTATTCTTCTTAGGTGCCCAGCGTTTGCGAGGCTAAGGTTGAAGTACTTTGGCTCTCACATCCCGAGGAGCTCTGGGGCATTGAATCCATAAATACATAATCGGCTCGGGTCGTTTTACCGATAAAGTATAAAGCGCCGTTCAGATTTGTGGTATCACAAAGGATAATCTCAAATTCGCTAAGTAAGCTACGGTTTCACGGGGCTGCCACCTAACCTAACCCAATTAAAATGGCACTTAGCTGCTACTTAAAAGTCACGATTTTCACGAAAATTTTTATATCCCAAAATTTTTTTCCCAGAAGATAGAAAAATGTAATTATGTTCGAAATAATATCGCTACCTAAAGGTTGAAAAGGAGCCAAGTCCAGTTTTTTCCAAAGTTTAGCTCTTGATGGAGAATGACAGATAATGAGACACTACATCGATTTCTCGTCTCTCCCGCATAATTTCAAAAAATGTACTTGGCACCTTCTCACCTTTGGATAACGATGTGTACATTTTTTATACAATTTGATACAATTTTGTAATGCAATTTTTATGCATTTTTACGGATTTGAAAAATTAACCCCAAAAAATTGTAGAAAAGGTTTTCCACGGTGAAAATTTCTAACGTGTTTACATGTTTTTTAACCGAATTTAAAAAAGGAGAAGGTTATGTTGATACTGAACGTTTTAAACATTGTCAAGCGTTAAAACTCGTTTTCAGTGGGTTTCTGGGGTTGCTGATTACGAATCTGATGTCAAATTATCAAAATTCAAAATCGGGGTTAAGAGTTTCAAACAAATCCAATCATTTTTTTAAAGTTGGTCGCCATTTTGGATCCACCATTTTGAATTCTGAAAATCTGACATCAGATTCGTAATGAGCAACCCCAGAAACCCACTGAAAACGTGTTTTAACGCTTGACAATGTTTAAAACGTTCAGTATCATCATTTTAATTTTAGTACTTTTTTTTTGTAATTTGATCGCCATATTGGATCCGCCATTCTGAATTTAAAAAAATTGACTTCAGATTCGTAATCGGCGACCCCCAAAAACTCTCGAATGCCGGGTTTCGAACAAATCCAATAATTAAAAAAAAAAATTACCGCCATTTTGGATCCGCCATTTTGAATTTCGAAAAACTGACTTCAGATTCCTAATTAGCAACCTCAAAAACCCACTGGTAACAAGTTCCATCCCATGACAATGCGTAAATCGTTCAGTATCAACGTTTTAATTTTACTAGTGTCTTTTCGAGAGCATATTTTTGGGAACTAGACCCATTCTAATTGTCCAAGAGAGGTGTGTAATTAAGTGAAAGTTCCCCAATAATAGCAGAGTAATTATATGTAAAAACCACATTTTTAGCTGCATTTTAACATGTCAAGAAAATAAAAAAATTGAGGACATCAGCGTTTTTATAAAAAACCGACCAGCGCGACCTCTATGAAAACTATTTTTTCAAAATAAAAAAAGACGTGTATCTTTTTTATCACAAATAAAAATATTCGGATGTAGCGTTTATGAATTTCCAAAAAGAGTGTTTTTATGAACCACTCTACTGTACAAACATATGTATGTATGTATATCTATACTTTTATTTGTATGTATGTTTGCAAGTGTTTTCCACATAATCGAGTAATCGTCAGTTGCAGTTCATTCAACTAGAATTAAAATATGTTGTAGTGTTTTTGTCTTATTCTTGCTTCGATTTCCCCACCAACTGCCAGTTATTGAAATGAAAACAAATTACCCTTTGCAGCTACTGCGGCAAGTGTTAGACCCACCTGCTCAGCAATTAACAGAGAGAGCGTGCCAATACATTGCAATGTATAGAAAGGGGTGGCTTGACTTACATTTTCGTTGGCACCTAAATACATAGGTATTACTATGCCTTATGCTCTCTTTGATCACATTTTTGTATTGCCGAAACACCAAAACAAACAAAAAAAACGTCTGACTCGTGGCCAGATCTTAAAGCGACATAATCAGAGAGAATTTAATTGTTGATCGTTATGTCCAAAGGGGAAATGAACATATGAACATAAAACACGCTCAAGGGTGGTTCTGATATATATATATGGAAGCAAATACATGTAGTTCATACTAAATTAAAACAAAATACTGGTAGTAAATACTATGTTTGAACCATAGGCGTCATACAAAAAAAATGCAAGGTTGGATCGAAATTATTTTGATAGAGATGTACGATTAATCAATTAATCGAAACCTGATTAATTAGCTGACCAAAGAATAATAATTTTTTATTAATCAAAGTGATTAATTTCTCGACCACCTACATTTTAATTAATCAGAATCCAACTAATTTTATTAAGCAGAAAACTGATTAATCATAACTTGATTAGTCAAAAACCTAAATAATTGCTGATATATTCTATTTTTTAACTTATACACATACATATGTACATGTATAAATTTTTGCTTTCAATTAGCAACATAGTAAGGTGGGCGTTTAGCATTATTTTTTGTTAATAAGAAAAATATTGTATTTATTACAAAAAAAAACTCCATTTGCTTTGGAAGCAAGCTCGAAAGATATGAGGAAATTTACTCAGATTTCAATTAATTTTTTAAGAGTAAAGAGTGATTAACCATAATCTGATTAATCACGTGTTTTGATTAATCAGAATTATAATTAATTAAAAAAACTATTTAAACGATTAATCGCACATCCATAATTTTGGGCCGTTTTCTCAAGTAGCTTTTAAAATGTAGGTACCCGCCGCCCTCGAGCTTTCTTTGTGCACATTATTTCTCGATTTTTAATTTCTGGCGGTAAAAATTTAGTGTAGCGTAGCTGTTTGATTGAAAAATTTCAACTTCTTGTATTTTAATGAAGCTTATGAAAAACCTTTTCATAATAACAACTATAACTTAGTTTCTGTAATACATTTGTCAAATTTCAAGTCAGAATTTTATCGAAATATTCAAATTTCTTCAAGCCCTGGGAGCGACCCCTAATAGTTTGTTTAAAAGTTTTAAAATTGTGTGGGTGCTCCACACAAAATTTAGATGTTGATATATTAAAGACCACCCTTAAGTACATAGAGTTTACATATCGTTACCTTAATATAGAATGGCCCTGTCTCACAACGTCGCCTACATACAAAAAGCCATAACTAATTAAAATTTTGTATTGCATGAAACGAAGTGGGGGACTTATAATTCGAAAGTGTGAAATCGAAAAGTGAATTTCGGATTTTTATTTAGTTACAGCTTCTTGTGTTTAAGCGACGATGTTAGATAGGGCCTTTCTATATTAAGGTAACGATATGTGTGTATTATTAAACAACATTTCCATTTTTGAATTTCATATTTGGCGCTTATGCTTTTGCTAAGTGTTTGGCCGAGCTTTTTTTTTTAATTTGTAGTGTGGTTTTGATGTAGTTACAGGAGGCCTACACTTTTATGCCGCCTTCGAGCGGCAAATGGATTTTATGAGTAGGTTTTTCATGGCTGTTAGAGAAAAATTTTACTAATTATACGTTGCCCTTTCTCAAATCGAACTCAGGTCCGGTGGTAGTACGCACCTCTAACAACTCGGCTACAGCGGCCGTTTTCAATGGAATATCTGTTTAAAAAAAGCTGCGACTAACTTAAGAATCAACTTAATTTCGGAGATGAATATATCCCAATGAATTTTTCATTTTTCCTTGAAAAAAAATTTAAATGCATGCATATGTGCATATCTACGGAGCTCAAGAGGTTGTGTAATCGTAGTCATCCTGAAAATAAATATTTTATTACCATTTTTAATGACTTAGCCATTTCTTTGGTCGATTTCACGTTCAATGTATTCACGAAAATTTACTTACATTTTTCCACTTTTCATTTTTTTAGGGAAATTTATCCCTTTCCAAAAAATAAAACAATTGGCTTTTAACAATCAAATTGGTTCAAATGTGAGCTGCTCGTCTTTTTATTATGCATGCAATTTTTACTTAAGTCAATCTATGAATCACCAAAAAAATTGTGTTCCCATTTACGTGATTTTTATTTACTTAATTTTTTTCTCATATCTTGCTCGTAAAATGCATACACAAATGTCAAGTGTTTTTTTTTTTCAAAATGTTTATGTACTTGCGATTTTTTCTGCGCACAGTAAAACACAATGCTGATATTGCACTTTCATATACTTATGTACATACATACATACATTTACGCATTTAAGCCCGTTAGCAAATAGAAAAGAATGCAAGAAGGAGATTATTTACATTTGCTGAAATAAATTTACTTTATTCATACTAATATTAAAAGTCAGCCATACAAATCTTCACGCTCGCTTCTTCCCATACACTGCTCCGCAATGGCATGCGTCCATCCGCCTTGTATATGACAATATACATACATACCTAATGTATCGCACATTTAGTAGAACATTGCAAGATGCGATATAAACGGAACCGCTAACGACCCGATATACAGTGCCGGCCACTTGAATAGAGCCACCATTTGATTCTGAGTATTCAGATATTTTCTCGACGGCCCTGGTTATATTGAAGAAAATGCGTCGTAATACCCTCGACAAAAAAATATCAAAAATCAACGGTCGTTTTTACTCACTTTAAGTCTGTACCAGATGCTTCACGATTTTCAGGTTTTTACATGAAGCTGTTCCCGGTCGCCACCTTCCATAAGGTACTACTGTAAATCCTGTAAAATCTGCACATCGTGAAGTACCTGAAACGGCTTTTATTGTACTAAAATTGAATGGGCTATAAAACTGCACACCCAAAAGAATTAAAACTTTGAAAGTTTAATTTTTATACTTTTTTGATAAAGTTTGAAAATCGGATTTACATGTTTTTGTTATAGAATATGCTATATTTTTATACAAAATTGATGAATATTGAATAAACAAATGAAAAACTGTCAATACTGAGGATCAAAAGCGGGCGCTTATTCAAGTTCCCGGCACTGTACATCTACTATACGAAAATGTATATTTTGAATTATCCTCTCAGTCATTTGGTGGACACGACATGGCACAACCAACGCACGCTCTGGTGGTATACTCGTACATACATACCACATAGCGTGGTGTTCTGTGGCATATGCCTTCTATTTGGCGCATACTAAGTTTTTTGTAGTAAATACTCATATGTATATTCAACAGTTTCAACAGTTGAGCAGCCAAACGGAACGGGACGTACCGTCCAACCAACCGACTCTCTCTTTGTTTATAAAAAAAAAAAACGTTTTTGTTGTTCTTTTTGTATATCATTTTATTTTTCTTTTGGCTATAACCATTAGACTATCTAGACTATATTGCATACAAGACTTTCCATGTGCGCATAATTTTCATTTCTGTATATCTAGTCGCTCAGTTTAATTTTGCCTTAGTTGCGGGAAATACGTAAATATTACGTATGGTGGTGGGTTCTCGTTTTCATTTCATTTTATTTAATTTTATTTTCGGTATTGACAAGGGGACCTTTCGCCTCTACTTACATACATACATACTACATTTACCGAACGGTGATCGCATTTAAATAAAATTGTTGTTTGTTTTAATAGTTAAAGTTATTAAAAAACAGCAATAAAATATGAATTGGTTACTCTGTATCGCGTCGGTTTTGTCGGTTTTAACGGTTGTTTTGTATAAAGGTAAGAAAATCATCGCAGGATTTGGTGATCTCAATAACGATCAAATTTGTCTGTGGATAGTGAACAGTGCCTTATTGGTCAATACAATAGTTGTTCGTAAATGTGTACATTAGGGTGGTTAAATGTAGGGAGAAAATTTTTACATCAGCTTTCCTAAGCGCCAACCCCTACGTCGATGCTGCTATAGTCGAAGATATCACATATAACTTTTGATCCCGATTGAAGTCGGTTAAGGCGTGTCGCACAGGGGTCAAAGTTCAGTCTACCCTATGACGACCCTAACCGACTACAGTCGGAACTAAAATTTAAATGTGACATCTTCGCCTTAGTAGTATCGATTTAGGGCATTAAATTAAAAAAAAAACATATTGTTAATTTTTAGAGCCCTTAGAGGCATCAGGCCTTCGACCCCTTTGCGACACGCCTTAATCGACTCTAATCGGGACCAAAATTTATACGTGATATCTTCGACTATGGTAGCTTCGATTTTGGGTATTAGATGAAAAGAAAATTAATTTAATTAAGTTTTTGAGTCTCCATAGACGAATCGTAACTTTGCTCCTTATGCGAGACGCCTTAAGCGTCTCCAATCGGGACCAAAACTTATATGTGACATCTGCGATAGTGGTGTTATCGGTTAAAGAGGTGGGACTGGAAAAAATCGTTCATTTGATTTTTTAAGGACCACCCTAGTGTACATAAATATGTAAATGTGTGATGCTAAAAAACTATTTTTAAAAATTGTAGCTGAAGGTCAGATGAAAATTCCATATCGCTTGTATAAATGAAGTAAGCTTTTTTTTCTACATAACTACATATTTAGTACGATATCAAAATGGCTCAAAGTTAAAAGTGATATGTGTGTATTAACAGCTTAAAAGGATAAAAAAAAATCGTGTATATATGTATGTATGTATGTTTAAGTACGTAAATTAATACAGACAAGTGCACCTGTTTCGCTATTGTACAACAAATTTATATGAGAGCGCTTTTTGATCTGACAATTTTTTTTATTTTTAATAAAAAATATGTTTGATCGCAGGAAAATTTGATTGCATCGGAAACTCCGTAATAGAAAAACTATATATATGTACATATATTTGTTTTCAACACAGGAAGTACATCGAATGTATCGAATGAAAGTATGGTATACATACATATTTACATGCACACATGTATGTAAAACATGAATATGCAAAAGAAAAACATATTCCAAAATTCAATTCCATCATTTTTAAATATAATACTTGATGTATATACATACCTACATATGTATGCATGGAAATAAATACATATATTCACTTTCCACGCTCTCTATTGGTTGATGGTCGTTTTGTTATCAGAGAGAGTGGCGCCTGATGTCGTTCACTTTTCGCCTGCTGTAAAATTAAAAATTTATCGATCAGAGTGGGAGAATGTATAATATTTAGCGAGCAAAAAAGATAATTTATTTATACTTATGTATTTACATATGGGTTTACTAGGTACATATATATGCATGGATGTTGGGGTGGTCCTTAAAATGCCAACATCTAAATTTTGTTCTACGTACCAAATAAAGACATCCACGAAATTTTCAAAATTTTAAACAAAAGTTGGGCTCGCTACCATGGTTTGAAAAAAATTTTATTTTTTTAAATCGCGAGAATTAGAACAAACAACATATGTTAGAGCTGATTAAAGTCAAATTTTTGTGGTTTAAAAACAAACAAAAAAACAATTTTTTATGCCCTTGTAGCGACTCCTAAATTTTCTTCATTTCGTGCGTACTTAGAACAAAAGGTTGCGTCCCATGATGTTGACATTTAAGGGACCACCCTAATGCATGTGCATACATACATACATACATACATACATATGTATTATGTCTAACATAAACGAAATTTAATTATTGCAAATTTTATATTCTCTTACTTCTACTAAAATGTCTTAGCTTGAAAGATTGCAGTGGACATCCAAAAATGTTTGAACTGTGCCTGGTTATTCTCGCTTGTACGGCTCCTGCGGTGCAATTTGAAGTACTACGAGTATTTTGACAGTATATTCATATAAGAAACCGGGTCAAGACTTATGCGACAGTTGCGGAAAGGATGTCCTTTATGCTTGTTGACATTCAATTCCAAGTTTTCCAATCAAAAAAGCTTCAAGATTTCGTAAACCGTGGAGCCATCAAAATGAAATCTTTAAAACCCATGAACTTCGATTTATTCCCCATGACCCCCAAGTATTGCTTACAAACTTACAACGCAGATTTCGTGCGCGGCTTTGATGTTTCTTTAGATAGATGGAAAAAAATAGGAAAAGTACCGCGACCAGTAGGCCTATTGCGCCCTCAGCCGAGCACAACATTGCATCTAGTCCTAAAGACTATACATTTTAGGAATAGATCCCGTCGGTAGTGAGTGTGTATGTACTTCTCTTAGCCATAGATGTCCTATGCATCTCTCCCTTCTCCGTGAAATGGTCTCACACTCCAAGTAGAGATGTAATGGTGTCCCTTTCGCGGAGTCACAAAAGCGACATAAATAGATTTCTTGACAAGATTCCCAGCTTATGCAAGTGGCCTCTTAACTTACAATGACCCCACAAAATACCTGTTTACCTCTTTACATTATACCCCCCTAGTAAACCCCCAGCTTGACGAAACCCTTCGTGAGCACTTCCTTTATCGTGCTGTAACAACACCGCAACGAAACGCTCAGGTCCTATCGGGGTCGAGAAAGCTGACGTTATGGCTAACTGATCGGCCTTCTCATTTACTTTAACTGACATGTACCGTGGCACCCATATCAGTTGGACAGCATTTTTCTCAGCACGGACATTAAGCTTCTCTACGCACTCCGCAGGCGACCGCTATAAAAAAAAAAACAATTATCTTTGATATTTCTCGGACCTGGGATCGGACCCTGAACCTACCGACTTTTGTTTGGGGAATTTTTATGCTGTTACAATAATCAGTTTATAAAGAACGATAAGTGAAAGACTGACTCCGACAGTACATAAATGGAGTTTAGGTTCACAATTTTGATCTATACACGAAAAGGTTCATCGCAGTCAAATACACCATCTGATTCTTTGAATGTTATGAACTGACCTTATTTGTGAGTGTAGTCTTAAAAGAAGTGTTAAGTGTCTGTAATGCAGTGGCGAACCAACTCGTGTCACTACAGCAGCTTATTAGCAGCTTATTGTTACCCGATCATATGGCCCTCCCTACGACATCGCTATATAAAATTTTACCACAGGCTTTAAATGCGTTTTGGTTAATTTTGGAGTACTCTTAACCTTTCGGGAATATTCTTTACATGCGTTCATGAAGTAGTAGCAATATAATAGCAATAAAATCCCGACTTTTATGAAATTACTTTGTATTTTTTCAGAAAGCAGCTGCTTGATATTGACTGAAATCGAAGGACCATCTTTGGTGGTAATAGATGATGAAAATGTGGACCCAATACCATTGAATTGCCATTTTAAAGTTGAGCAGGAAACCCACTCTCTGGTTGTGAAATGGACTAAGGATAATAATGTGATTTTCCAATACATCAAAGGACATGGAACCTCCGTAATTGTAAGAGAAAATAAAGAGTATTATTTTTAACCGACTTCCAAAAAAGGAGGAGGTTATCAGTTCGTCGGAATATATATATATATATACATATATATTTTTATTTACCACGTCAACCGTCGATAATTCTTTTTGCATCGGAAAGGTAGTGATGTGGTCCCATACTAATCTGGTTAAGATCCGTTCAGTGGATCATGAGATATATATATATATATATTTTTATATGAGAGTTGAAGTCGGTTTTTTTTGCTAAAAATTACTGTTTTTCTTTTAATTAATGGATGACTTGTTTTATCATTTGCTTTGTGAAATTTTAGCCGGAGTACAAAAACGAAATAGCAGCTCTATCCTCCGAACCGGATGACGAACAAACAGGTATACTTCTGATCAATCCGTCGATCGAATCGTCAGGAATATACAGGTGTCATGTTCAAACTGATGTCCAAACGAGATCCATGGATAAGGAGTTGCATATTATTGATATACAAAACTACACATATACGCTTCTTCCACAACGAATTCAAAACGAAACCCATTTGGAATGTAACATTGAGAATGTGTTTCCAGAGCCAGCGCTAGCTATTATTCAGTGAGTAGAAATCGATCTCAATTTGTAGTGATACTATCTCTAACAAAAATATACTAACATCCGTATTCTTACAAAGTCATAAAGCTTGGCTCATCACTGCTGTGCTTTCTACGTCGCCTCAAAGTTTGCTGCTGCAACAAATATGCCGTTACAACACAATTTTTTAAGTGTATGTGTATTTTTCTAGCACTTAAAATCGAATTTTTGTGGCACATTTTGAAGCGCACTAGAAATCACAACTGTGATAAGCTAAGTTTTGTGACTCTGTTAGAATGGAGGGGTAAGTATAATTAGAACTAATTAAAATTTCCCATACGCAGAGCCTTTGATGGAGAATCAATACCAATTGTGTCAACGAATTCGACGCAGTTTAGCAATGGCAAGTTTAGCGCAAGTGCAATAGCTGTTATAAGAACGGATGACGAAAGCGCAGTCGAATATCAATGTATAACAACATTTGACGGTTTGTCATTTAACTTAACAACGAATGCTGAGTCAGGTAGTATGTCTTTTAGGAGACCTGAATGGAGCTATCTTTTATGGACTTCTTTATTAGCACTTGTTACTTATGAAAAACTTAGATTTTAGGGTTTTATGTCTTTACGCTGACTAACTAATTTATTTGTTGGATTTGTAAATATTTTTTTTTGTATATTTGTAGATAAAAATATATATTTATGTATATTTGTAAATAAAAAGAAAAAACTAATTATGAAAGTGCTTCTATGCAGCTTT